GATGATTATTGGCATCACTGGCAGGATGTTTTTGCTGGAGGTCTTTTAGGTTTGTTTCTTAAGACCTTGCCTTTTCTTGTTTAAATCGCTTGCTTCTCACAAGAAATCTTTGCCCTTTTCATTGCTACCTTACTATGCAGGGACAACAGTTGCAACATTTTGTTACTTGCAATTCTTTCCACCACCTTATGATGTTGATGGTATTCCCCCGACTCTACTTCTCTATATGATTTCTTGGATACCTTAATATTTCAATGTAATTATAAATTGACATTGAAATATGCATTCAATGGAAATTTCAAAGAACAATGTTGGAGGATAAAATAACATTTTTGGCCCCTTTTGTATTTATTACATATTTTTGTTAGAACTTAATAAATAGCAAATGCAATGGCCAACGGTGATATTAAAGGCTACTCTTTTTAGGAAATGGGTATCTTTTAAATGGATAACGTCCCTTAGGAAGGTTAGTAAATGTAGCAAAACTGAACCATAGAGTAACAAAATGAATTGGAACAAAGGGCATGGTATTTTTATGAAGTTTTCCTGCGTTGACTCCATCTTTCTCTGTGTCTTTTTAAGCTCCTTTCTATTTGATTGCTGCAGGCTGGGGACCTCACGCATATTTTCAGATGCTGTCAGAGTCTCAAGGTGACACTCAGCCAAACAATACCAATAGTGTAAGAGTCAATCGATCAGAGCTTGAGAGTGTGCTTGTTGGTTCTCATCACGACATGGAAATTGGCAGAGGGAATGCCTTTGAAACTAGCCACATTGTAGAAGGGACAAGAGGTGGAAGGGGATACTGACACTCTACATCTTAGCGGTACAGATAGACCTAGTCAACAGGTCAAATCAGATGGGTTCGGCTTGGGTCTACTAGAATAAACATAATGAATGTATGTCCATAGTCTTCTTAATTTTGTGTATAGAGCATTCTCTCTACGGAGGTAGGTAGGTATTCTCGCCTGTTTTCCTACTGATCAAGCTTGAACAACCATTTCTTTAGTTTTATTAGTTATTATTCATTACCAGATTTTGCTCAGTGTGTTTCTTCCAATCCCATTTGGCTGTAGTAATACTATAGCACATGATCTAGTGGTAGATTTATGTACTCTAGCGCCCTAGTCTTTATGTACCAAAAAGTAGTAATGTACAGACACAAGTGTTTTGTCTACACTTTCCAGTTTCAGATCAACTAAGCTTGGAGTTGTATTATTCATCGTGCGGTGGTCACAATTCTGAATTCTACAAGACTGTTTCCTAATGAATGGTGAGTTGCAAAATTATTTCTCGATTTGTTTTTCGTGCTGGCTTCTTCTTACAGGCATGGCTCGTTGCAAAAAAATAGTAACCGGTAAACGTACATAGGATCTACTTCAACTGGGTCATTTGTTAATTACATCATCAATAAATCGATCAAGAAACAATTTTTTCCTTGCTATGATCGAAGCAATAGTTTGTTGGTTGAAAAACGGACATTCCCTATCAACAGGAATTACATAATAATATATCAAATAAAAAAAGAATCAAAGGAGTATAAGGACCAAATCCGAGTAGTAGTAACATAAAGACAAATAATCAAATCGTCTGAGTAATTACTTTATTATGCTTGTGCATTTTGACCCGTAAGCAATATTCTTCTGCAAATTTGACCCGTAAGCATACATTGCATTCACTGTTTCATCAATTTATTATTCTCTTTTTGAACATGTATCTGAATTTCCACCATTTCCTCCCTCAATCTCTCATACTATATAACGTTAAAGCCCCCTCGCTCGTTCACTTAACCCACAGCTCTACTCTCCCATTTATCTTCTCCTATCTTTTATCATAGTATCAAGAATGAAGATCATGCCTGTTTCGGCAGCTTCGCAGTCCAACACTGTTGAAGTCCTCAGCTGCTTCTACACCTGAAAATCCCGAGGTTGTTTCCTCGGGAAAAACACTCCGACGCTCAAGTCAGCAATACTCAATATTCTAGAGAGAGATGCTCTCAAGGAGTAATTGCAGAGAGAGAAGCGTAGAGATTTATTACCTTCATTGAGGTAGTTGGGGGGTATTTATAGCCCTTTGGTGCTGACATACATCTACACGTGTTAGCCTCCCATTGATCCACTTGGCATTGGTCACGTGGGTATGCTTGTACTGATGCTCCCTCAGCTTGGGCTAACAGGTGGTAACCTAGGCCCATTATGCATAGCCCAGTACTGTTTGGGTGTTGGGCTGGGCCTATTCCAACATTACTCCCCCCCCAGCGTTCGGTTGATGAACTGGAATGGATGTAGCCATGAGCCAACGTTGTTAGGCCATAGCCCAGTACTGTTTGGGTGTTGGGTTGGGCCTATTCCAAACGGGTTGACAGCTTGCGACCGACCTTGATGAGGGCCGAGCTGAAAGGTAGAACAAGAAGAGGCGAGCTCGCAAGCCTGAAAACGTGTGGGCGAGCTGGTATTCATAGCCACATTAGTGTGGGTTCGTTATAGCGGCGAGCTGAAGTGATTTGCAACAGGCGAGCTTGCGTGTGATGTATCGCCCGATCAGTTTGTCCTTGTGACGGTCTGATCTTTGAGTACTACCGAAGTGCGATCAGGTGACGCTTAGTGAGCTATGATCACGAGGTGAAGCGACACGACCTCATATTCAGTGCGACTTGAGATTTTTGACCGCACTTTATCAGCCCGCCCGAGTGGTGTTGTCCAATAGGGCGACCTGGGGAACCCCTTGATTTGTGCGAGCTGCAATTCGCGTGACGTCCTGACGAATGTGGTTGTCGTCACAGTGTGTGACGAGCTGAATTGTTACGGTTGAGCCGATCTAGCCAAATGTCATGTTTGTGACGACCAGGTAGGTGTGCTCGCAATGGCGAGCTGATGCGACAGTATAAGGTACACATCAGCAGTGACGATCTGAGTCCTGGTGGATTTTCGAATCTCTGAGGAGATACGTTTGCGCGACCTGATTCCTGGACGATTTGAATCTTGGGGATTTTTAAACCAACCGAATCTGACCAGATCTCTGAGGAGATACGTTTGCTCTTCCGTATCTCTTTATCTTCCTCGCCATAAATGCTGGCGCAGCGTTTGAGGAACGTGACAGCCAGACGCGGCGCACGTTATGCAAAAGGCAGTTAAACGCCTATCACGTGTGGGATGCCTATTGGCGCGTCGGAGACACGCGTACTGCGTTTAATACGGTCATTTTGGTTTTGTTTCTTTCGTAACCGTTCCCTTTGCCATTTTCACTCTTGCATTTGCTTGAAATCCTCTGAAATTCTCTGAAGCAAGGCGACTCCAATCTTGAAGAACAACACACCGAATCGACTTCACATTAGTTTCAGGTAAAAATGGTTTCACTACGAGAACTCACAGAGCAACGAGGTAACCAGGGCAGAGAAGGAGAGGAGGAAGGGGTTTTAGCCGTGGAGCCTATCACTATGATAGTGCCACCAGAGTTGCAGGATGTACCGGAAACAGTGGCGTTTGAGAGCAGCGCCAGTTCCCGCGCCAGAGACGACGGTGACGACCACCCTAGTGCATCGTCAAGCAGCTCGTCTACGGAAGAAACACCAAGCCGCGAGGAAGGGGTAGGGGATGTTGTGAGTCCTGTCTTAGATCGGCCTGTAATGGATGAATGGGAGAGCAGAGCCATCCCGAGCAGGTTGAGCAATTTGCGAAAGGCGCCGAAGGACCTGCCCGCCGGATTCAAGTTCAAGGCTGCACTTCACCACGAAGTAGCAGATTGTGCGCCCTCCATAAGTGGGTATAAAAGGCTGGAGGAGATGGTGAGGGTGTATCACATCCCCAAGACCATACTGCTGCGGACGGGCGGGCAGAACGAAAGGGCATGCACAGTGTCACCGACGGGCTGGATACCAGTGTATGCGGACCACTTCGACGCCGGCCTGCGGTTTCCTCTGCCCGGCTTGATATTCGATCTGCTCGCGGAATACGAGCTGGCGTTGACGCAGCTAACGCCCAATAGCATAAGGTTCATTATTGGCTTTATGCTGTTGTGTGCGCGACTAGAGGTACCAGCCAAAGCGATAGTGTTCAGATCGCTATTCCAGTGCCGGTTGTGTCCAAACTCACAAGGAGCGAGGTGGTATTACCTCTCTGGGAGGGATAAGAGCCAGCTCTTAAAAAATGTGAGGAACAAGGTGGCGAGGTGGAAGAAACAGTTTATTTTTGTTCGCGACACGCGAGCAGAAGGGATAAGCAACGACCTCACTGCCCGGCTGTCTGAGTGGCGCACACCAAACGCCCACATCAACTACCCCCAGCTGCTGCCCCGGGATGTCAATCTGAAGAACCAGCTGCTTCAGTATGCGTAGGGGGAGGGTCTTATAGATTTAGAAGCCCTGGTTACCTCGGAGCAGCTCGCCGTGTTCGGGTTTGTTGATGTGACAAACCTGTTCAGCGAAGGTATATTTTCATTATATAACATGGATTCTAGCCGAGCTGAGGCTTATGCATTTTTTTGTGCAGGAGAAATGAGCAGCATCCTAGAGCGCCAACGACAACGTGCCCAAACCTCACGAGGTCGCGGGGCTAGCAGCGGGCAACCCAGGCAGACGCGATTTGACGAGCGGCCACCCCCAGCGCCTCAGTCACGTGGTTCGTCACACAGGGGATCCAGCTCGTCGTCAAGGCCGCGAGCGGATCACAGAGCTGAGGTTGCAGCTCCGGGCGCACGCAGACGTGCACGCGAGGGGGCGGAGAGCGAAGAGGATGAGGTTCCCCTTGCTAGGCGCATAAGAAGCGGGGAGACTCATCCCACACAGGCGGCTCGCCCTGTAACTGTGCGTTCTCCAAACGCACCGTCAGCGACTGTGCGGGCAGCAACGGAGCCCGCCCCTGCATCGGCCTCTACATCTGGCCCCAGGATTGCTTATCCTGAGGGTTTCAGCTACACACGGGCGGAGTGCCAGCCCGCCATGGTGCAGGCCATGCACAGTTTTGTGCCCCCAACAGATAATCGGCGGGCAAAAGCGTTCGTGCAGCAGCATGGCGGCCAGGTTGCCATGATCAAGCTGATGGATGTAAGCATTCGCTCATACTTCCTTAAATATTTTTTTCTTGCTTTACTGGGTACTTACTATTGTTGCCGTTTGGCAGGCAGACATTCAACTACGCTGTGGTGCTCTACGAGAGCGATCAGGCGGCTCGTACACAAAATAGCGAGCTCGGTTCCAAGTGCAAGCAACTGGCTGCTGAGAAGGCCAGCCTTGTGGACGATGTGAATCGTCTGCAGGGCTCTGAAATGGTGAACCGAGCCGCAGCTACTGAGAGCCGGGCGGACGAGCTCGCAAATAAGATTAATGAGCTCAAGGAGGAGCTAGAGCGAGCCCGTGCCGAGAGAGAGAGCGGGATTCAAGCGGCGAGGGATGAGGCCGCTCGGGTTGAAGAAAGGGCCAGGAAGGCTGAGGCTGACAGGGATCTTGTTCAGCACGAGCTGAGCTCCCTCAGACACCAGGTCGCCGAGGTCGACCGGAACCTTACTGTTGCTGGGGAGGCGCTGAGCGAGCTGAAGAATTCCCATGCTCGCTCTGTCAGCATCGCCCGAGCTCAAGGTGCGGAATGGTTCGTGGGTTCGGCTGCGTTCCAGGACACCGTGGCGGTGGCGTCTGCAAATGTAACCACGGAAATCTACAACGAGATCCGTGGGAAGGTGCTGCGACAT